TGACCATGTCTGGCACTGGTAGCACAGAGTTGGAATAAATATGCTTTGAATAAGATGTCTCTTTGTGCTGATTGGGATTGTCTTACGCTGTAAGAGGGGGGCTAGCTGTCCCAATACTTGGCTTGCTTTACTGCATCTAATGTTAATTTCTTTATCCAATTTCCCATCTTCGGTAAATGTAGTTCCTAGATATTTAAACTCAGATGCCTGTTTAATGCCTTTGCACTCTATTGCTATGTTTAGATCTGTCTTCTTTTTTCCTATTGACATTACTTCTGTCTTTTCCGTGTTGATTCTCATATTATTTGTTTTACATTCTTCATTCATGGATGTTAGATGTTGTTGCAATTTCATGGCTGTATCTGCTATCAAGGCCTGGTCACCTGCAAAGAGTAATTCGTTGATCTTACTAACATTTTCATTCATGGGCTTGGCATTCTTGCATATACTGTCGATGTAGGTGATAAACAGCAGTGGTGATAAGACACACCCCTGTCTTACTCCAGATGTTACTGTGAATGGATGAGATGTTCCCTGATTTATTCTAACTACACTTCTACAATCCCTGTATAAACTTTTGCACACTTCGATGAGGTGTTTGCTTACTCCATATCTTGCCATTACTTTCCATAATAATTGTCTGTCGACTCTGTCAAATGCCTTCTCCTGGTCTACGAATGCCACAAATAAGTTCTTATTGTATTCAATGTTCTTTTCTATTAACTGTTTAAGTGTGAAGATTGCATCTGTGCAGCTTCTATTTCTCCTAAATCCCATCTTATCTTCTGCCAGCTGTGGTTCTATCACTGGTCTCAGTCTTGTTTCTATTATCTTGGCATACATTTTGCCAACATGGCTTGAAAGAGAGATGCCTCGGTATTGACCGAATTCTCGTTTGCTTACTTTGTTCTTCCACAATGGTATAACTACTGCATGTTGCCAGTCAATAGGGGCAGTTTGTTGTACCCATGCTGCATTAAATATTCTGTGAAGCCATCTGATGCTGCTTTCACCTGCTGCTGTTTGAATTATTTCTTTTGGTAATCTATCAGCTCCTGGTGCTTTATATTTGGGAGACTGCTTAATGACTTTTTCTATTGCATCCATTAGTATGTGTGGTTCTAACACTGTTGCTCTGTGCTCTTCAGTTGTTCTTTCCTGATGATCTCCTCAAGGATTAAAGAGCTCATTGAAGTATTCCGTCCATCTTTCTGCTATCTCGGGTGGATCTATCAATGGCCTTTATGTCTTATCATTAATTATTTCAGTGGGGTTGTAGCTCTCATCTCTTTTCCGCATATTTTAACTACTTTGAAAAATTTTCTGCTGGCTGTTTTATCATGACTCACCGAAACGTTCCCAGGATGCCTGTTTTGCTTTCTTGACACTCTTGTTGGTTTCTCTCCTTTGCAGTCTATCTTTCATATAAAAAGGTTATATGGGAATTGAATGCTAGCCCAATATTTTTACATACAATTTGGCACTTGCTGATCAATAGCACACCATTACTTCTGAGAAAACTTCTTAAAGAAAGAAGTGGTAGTGCAATCTGTGCTCTTACTTAACGTTAGCACAATCTCTCTCTCTTTCTCCCCCCCCCCCCTCCCTTCATCGCATGTAGGTAATACAAGTAAGTAGGTAAAGGAACCTTTTCCACGCCTTTGGGCGTATAGGCATATAAGGCTAGATCTATATTTTTATAGACCAATCGGCACAAGATGGGTGATGTTTCAGCATCACGCCGGCTGCCTTTACTTCCCGGGACTGCACACGGTACCCACTCAAGGCTGGGTTGACCTCGGAGCCAAGGTCATTTTTGAAAGGAGCCGGCTCCGCCAGGGACGAACCCACGACCTTCCGATCCGCGGCGAGCGTCTAGCTGCTCGGCCACGGCGACTCCCAGGTAATACAAAACTACATATATGTTGGGACGATCAGTGAAACATTTCTAGGAGAACCGACGCCTGATAGGGGCGGTAAGGCAGCCATTCTAACGCTCTATCACGCAACTTCTTTTTTTTTTCAAACAATACAATTAAACAAATGCAGTGCCGCGATGTACAGATGCATAATAAGCCTTAAAAAACAGATATCCTTTACAGGCGTGATGTTTTCCGTATCCAAAAGTTTATCGAGCAATATCTATCCATAATCACGCTTCTAGGTGATGAGAAAAATCAATCAATATGTTGGCCTTATCTAAATACCTCAACTTTGTCCAGGGTTATCACTGCTTCTCCAGGAAAGCAGCGGACAGTTGGAGGGGCACAGAAAGAACACCCGCGTAGGCAAGGATGCACTTCCATTAAATGGCAGTGAAAGCAAAACTTCAGATCAGGCTAGCGGTTCTTAAACCAAGGTCCGCGGTCTATGCTGGCCCTGATTCCTAATATGTGAGGCCCGCGAAGAGATAACACTTAACTATATACATTGTAATATGACAGTAAAATCTGCTGTTTCGGCAAAGCACTGGGCAGTTGGAAGGGGCACAGAAAGGACATCTGCTAATCCCCGTGTGGGTTCCGGGGCCCCATTGTGGAGGAAAACATGAATAGACCCACTGCCTGTCCAAAAGCATGTCGTAAGAGTCGACTTATTGGTAGCTTCCTTGTGAGGTAGGGAACCAACATTCTGCATGCAAATGAGTCAGACATGTGAAATGGATGTATACGCAACACTCAGGTTCTGAAACAGGACTGGAGTCCAGAAGTGGACAAACAACCAGAATTTTCCGCCGGAGTTTACAGCCGGTGAACGCGAAGAAGGAGAAGACATCTACAAAGAAGCAACTTTAGAAATCACGTTAGTGGTTCCTAAACCAAGGTCCGCAGTCTATTTTGGTACTGTTTCCTAAATATGTAAGACCCTCGAATAGATAACATCTAATTATATAAATTGTAATATTACAGCAAAATATGTAGTTCCGGCGAAGCAGTGGGTATTGGCAAGGGCCCAGACAGCTCATCCACGTTTCTAGGCAGAACACAGATTAATAAATAACAAAAGCACAACTTCAGAATAATCAGTCGGTTCTTAAATCAATACTTGCGATTTATACTGACACTTCTACTTATGTTTAAGTAGAGTACAGTTAAAGACCTATATTAAGTCTGAGATTTTGCTCCTGTTTGATTCTCTTACTTGGGGCGTTAATCTTAACATGCAGCAATACTGGAAGGGAACACTGACCTGATCTGCCCTTTTCACACCGTTGACACATGGGGCATATAGCACTAGGCCTATGTTTTATAGACCAATCGGCACTCAGTGGGTCACGGGGTCAAGGCCACATCGGCTGCCTTTACTTCTGAGGACATTACGTAGTACGAATTTTACGCGGGCTAACCGCAGGACCATCGTCAAATATGAAAAACAATCCCCTCAATGAGGATTTGAACCAAAGACCTTCGTGCCGGCAGGCGAGCGACTCAAATATGCACGGACGACCCATAAATATATTACGGTTTTAATTACACTGTATTCAAGATATCTAACAAAACGAAAAGTAGACCAGCGAGCTTCACAATCTAATAAGCACATACGGAAAGTGAACGTTACGGAAAGACAGACTTCGTCAGCACAATACAAATCAACAAAACCGCATGTACAGGCAAGAATACACAAAATCACTTAGCGGACGTATTCCTGACAGAAGGGACGTTTTTGTCCGGCAGTGGAATAATTACATTAGTATTACAGTAAATTGAAAAGTAAATGGTATCACTGCAGGCCAATAGGTAATAGGTATATGCAGTTAGCCCTAAAATATGCAGATCAACAGACATTTGATTTTAATAATTAACCAACCATGGTAGCAATACGAACAATATTCCGACAGAACAACCTTGTTATAG